TGTTTATGTGTTCTTTCCCCCCCCCCCCCGAGTTATCCCCCTCGTGGGGGGGAGGGGGCTTACCACTGATGACATAGGATCGAAACGCACCAATCATAAATTTGGATGCGTCGGCGAGGTCTGCCAGACGAATATTCTTATCCATCAAAGATTCCTTTTATTTGAAAATGTGTATTTCTTAATTCTAGTATTATTTTTGTTTCCAAAAAGTGGGGAGCCCCTTCCCCTGCGCAGGCCGTAAGACTCGACGAAACCATTGAAGGTGCAATGCTTGTGTGCAAAAGCTCAACACTGTCATGTCGTTTTGGTAAAAAGCCTAAAAGCATATTTGTTAAAAAAAATGATCAAAAAAATAAATATAACAACGGTTTAATAACAGCGTCCATAAAGTGGCTCCTCATCTGGTATACGTATATATAAAGTAAATCAAATAGCGGTAGAAATATTTACAATATGCAAAAATATATACAATAGATAAAAAGAAAAAAAATCATAAATGAAAATGCAATAAAAACTTATAATTTATCTAGCTAAAAGGAGCGATTTATCTTCCCTGCAATAACAGTTAAAAGTCATGACACATTTAATTCTTTAAATGATCAGGGAGGTTATTCCACTCTCGTGTTCAAATGCCGATTAATCTATGTACGGCCCTGAAACCAGTCTTTGATCCATCGACGGGGAAAGAGCCAATTCAGTGTGGTTTTGCCTCGGTGTACCCAGAATTCAATTCTATTACGGGAAATCAAGGTTTTGACTGTAAAAAGCCGAACTGAAACGCACTTCCGACAAACATTAAATCTTGCAACTTGAAGCAAACTCGTCTGCCAAGAGTGACGCACTCGCAAATGTTCATTTTAACTCAATTTTCGCTCTTATGTTGAAAGTTTTGGTCCACTTTGCTTCGAAATTTGATGTCGAAATTTATCGCGAAAAGCATTTCTTGATCACCAAAACGGCTTCATAAACATTCAAAACAGCGGACCAAGTTTGTCGCTTGGTGACGTCATTGTGGAAACCAACCAACATAAACTGTACAAATATGACGTAAATCCTCTATTGAGCCCCCCCACTCAAAAAAGCCCCCTCCCTCTAATAAGTCCTCCCCTTTCAGGGGAAGAAAGTTAATAAGCTCCCCGTCTCTATTAAACCCCCCTCCCCACCGCTAATTATTCTTCAATAATAAATATCCTTTACTATTAAATACTAATAATACTACTAATAAAAGAATCTTTATTACAAAACCTCAATTAAAATCCTATTTACAATCAACCTGCTGTTACAAAAAATCTAATTAATTCATCAAAAACACTATCTACAATTCCATCCGTTACAAAAGAAACCCCTCGTCCTTCATTACAGAACAAAAACAATCCTATATATTATAAGTGAAGATAGAAAAAACTATTCATTTACAAATTCTAAAAAATAGAAGTAACTTAACCTTACATAAAAGAAGAGGAAATAGATATAATTAATAATAAAAGTTCAAAATTCTATAAAATTAAGAATTCCATTATGCAGAGATATTAAGATCCTGCAATCGAATTATACTAATGACGGCTAAACCAGTGTCCATAAAAAGCCCTAAGTATAAAAGCATATAGACACGTATTTCAGATATCCGCACTAGCGACATTTATTTTACAGTCTAATGATTGCTCTAGCTTGCTACGAAACGGCGTTCGCGAACCTCTGACGCATGCATGTACCGATCTTAAGAGTTCAAACGAGATCTGTGTCCTGAGCCAAGTGATTACAACGTGATAAGGCTCGGTGTCTTTCTGAGCTATCTTGTCTGCGAGATGCTTTAAGAACCGCTGACACTCGTTTCCCATTCCGCCATTGGTTCCAAACACTAAAGGCGTAAACGAACCCATTTCTACATCTAACACCCGCTGCTGGTACTTGCGCTTCTTCTCTTCTTCTTGCTCTTTGAACACTTCCGATGTTGGCTTGCTCTGGTAACACTTGGAGTTGACGTGCGTAACTCTAACATCAAAAAATGCCGTAACTCCTCTTGCCCAGAAACCTCCCGCTTTGATGTCCAACCTTGCCTCAGAACTTGTAACAGCGCTCCTCAAATGAAATCGCTCGTTGTCCAGGGGTTGAAGGCGTGGTTCGATTTCGACATTATTGCAGATCTTGTCGATGAATGTCGTTAACAAGTTCCGTACACCATCATGTCTCTGCGCTACAAACCCCCCCTTTTTACAAGAGAGGGCGTGACTAACGGTGAATTTATCCCCACATATGCAATGACTTGGTAAATCGACTAAGGGTAAGTCATAACGCAAGCGTAGCGAGTCTCTGAACTCTTGCTTGTTGAGGGCTAAACCTTTGTCTGCGAGAGGCATCGCATTCAGCCAAGAACTTGCGCCCTTGTCCCTCGATTGATTAACCAGACGCAGCAGGCCTGGGGAGAGGCTTGAATCAATGCTATCCATTTTCTCTTTGGCACTTGCTCTCTTAAGTGATTGTTGATGCCTCTTTAGCTCCTCCGTAGATCTTTCTCCTGGCACCATGATGGAACTCTGTGATGTAATAGAATCTACGTGGGCGGTGGTTATTAGTCTCGAGGCAGCAAACTGCTGCGGTGCCTCGGATTTCAGATCAGGAATGCCTAGACCCCCTTGACCCGTTGCTAAGGTAGCAAGTCTGCGCACCTCGTTAGGGAGAGGCTCTGATTGACCGAACAAAGTAGGGAGTAGTAAATCTTCAATCACTTCCTGGATTGGATCGACATAATCTTCAAACGATTCAATCGTGCGCATGAAGTAGGTGAACTTCGACTTGTAGCCTTTTGTGAAAGCAATATACGCCGCATGGGGCTGGCTCTTCGCTATTTCAGAGAGACGTTCGATTTCCTCTTTCCATGCACGAACCTTCTCCTCACAATACTGATCTTTGTATTCTTGCGACGCAATAACTGCTCCCAGATGGCGCTGACCTTCAGTCGTTATGTTGACTTCCTCTCCAAACACCCTCTTTGCTTCCTCCGCTAGTTCCCTAGACTTCACAATAAGCCAGCTCTTTGTCCCATTCACAAGGTAACCAAACTTTTGTCCTTCCTTACTCAATTGCCTGTACCAGTTGTATAAGTGCACTATACTCCCTCCTCCAGCTGAGTCGTCTGCAAGCCACACCTGTTTAACCAATGGGCAATGATCCCTCAAATTCTGTATCATTATGGATGTATTAAGTGCATACCATGGCATCGCTAGCGGATCTCCTTGTGTGGTGCCTTCTCGAGAAAGTATTTCACCTCCCCCACAAATAAACAGTCTAGATGGGCTTCTATATGTGTTAATCACATAGAGCGCCATTTCTTTGCACATGATCTGGATATTGTGTAAGGCCGCTGACCTATTCATTTGGTTAAAAGCGTTACTAGCATCAATTAGCAATATTCCATCTGTTCCTTCTTCAACAAACACTTGACTCATTGCATGGATCGCAGCCTCCGCTCCTGCGTTATGACCAGCGCAAACTTGTAGGGGACCCGCCGCTTCTTTTATTTCCTCCTTTAAGAAACCGCTGACCGTTTTCCCCACTATTCTCCTCAGTACCTCTCCAACACCAATTGGTCTGATTCCCGGGTTCTTATCCAGCGGGATAAGCCTGCAGGACGTGAAAGCTTCAAGTAAGGATGGGTGGTACGATTTCGTTAGCAAATTTCTTTCTAGCTCTTCTCTCAATATTTTGCCCTCGGTCTTGAAATTCTTAGAGCACAGGATTCTACTAATAAATAATAGGATAGGATAACTACTAATAAATAATAATAATAATAATAATAATAATAATAATAATAATGTTCTTTACTATTAATACAGTGAAGACTAATTAGCGGAAATCAAGCCTTTCTTCAACGAACAGAAACCACAAACAAATAAGACTCAATTTCGAGCTAAAAATACAATGTTAGCGTGTACGAAAAAATAAATAAATAAAATAAAATTGAACATCACGGGAATATCATATGACTTCGTGTGGACTGATCCGGGATGGTTTATTTACCAACTGGAAGTTCGGATTGGATTCAGATCCTCGGCTGCATGACCTAAAATGTCTTGCACTTGAGCTTTTCCATTTTTTATTCTAGTTCTTTATGGAGAACTGATACCATCGTCGTTTCTAAATTGAATAAGCCCCCTGGGGGGCCTAACAGAGGATTTACTGTATAGAGTACTAAAGTGATGACGTCATAAAAATGAAATTTCTGAAATTATGGAATTTGTTAGGATATTCTGAAAGAACAATGTCCAAGAGGCCTACTTGCCAAAAATGAGCACTTCGGGCCATTTCGGGGCAAATCGTCTCTGAGATGTTAAGCGGTTGTACTCAGAAAACTCCATATATACAAACCCTTCTAATGTTTTTGGGTCGACCCCTAAAAAAATTTAGAAGGGTTTGTATGGAGTTTTCTAAGCATAACTGGGCTACGATCTCAGAGACAATTTGCCACGAAATGCTCATTTTTGGCAAGTAGGCCTCTTGGACATTGTTCTTTCAGAATATCCTAGCAAATCCCATAATTTCAGAAATTTCATTTCTATGACGTCATCACTTTAGTACTTTATAGCCACCGACTTGTACGGTTCTGCTTCGCTGTGCGATGCACGCACGTTCCACGCGCGACAAAATCATAAACCTTTACTACGAGGCAACGCGCCTCGAGGAAAAAACAAAACGGACGTGAAGGGAGGAATAGATAACAATTAAACACAAGCCAAGGCTACTCTTTACCAAATAAATCTATGGTATGCCGCTGTGAGCTAACAGGGTAGTTTGCATTTATATTTGATTTAAAAGTCGCATGGCCTCGTCATCCATTTAAGAAAGGAATACTACTCCCTAGAATTATCCTTCTTACTATTCCTATTTTGCTATATGGTTAAACAGGATTAATACCACGGAGAAAATGAGAATAAATGACCTAATATTGATAAAGAGTTCGCTGCAAACCCTGCAATAAGCAGGTTTTCTCACTCTTCCTCCCAGATATCGACGAGTGCTCTATCAATTCTCACAGCTGTGACGTCAATGCGGTGTGCAGTAATACTGTGGGATTGTACGTATGCGCCTGTAAAGCAGGATATTCAGGCGATGGAAACACCTGTACTGGTGAGCATAGTTTTGTTAGATATTTTTAGAGTGAACGACAAGTGAAAATAATGCGACGTTTTTCTTCGTGCTTCTGTTTTCCCTCTGCAAAGAAAACCGTTTTGATTACACAGTTTGGCATTTTGTGTTTTGTAGATATTGACGAGTGTGCCAGCGGTACTCACAACTGCCACAGTTCACTTCCTTCGTGTACAAACACTGCAGGATCCTTCAGTTGTTCATGCGGTAATTAATCACGAAATATTTGGAAAATGTCCGTTCACTAGACCCTTATTTACACTCGTTAGAAGCACATTTCTCTAACCTTGAATGTTTTCAGAGGGGGTTCAGTTTAATGTTGATACCTCCCAGATCTCCTGTCGACGGAAGCCAAAAGCAAGATCTGGTCAATTAATCAAATTCAATTTTCCTTTTCACTATATTATAGTGGAGGAGTGACACGAGTATTGTCATCAGTGCGCGCTGTGGTGTCTGCAATTCATTCTTCGCGAAATCTTTTTCTGGTAGTTTCCCCTTTTGCTTAATCGCCTCATCCCGACGCGACGCACGAGTTCATCAATCGATCACATAGGCGTACGGGCCGGGGAGGCGAGGGGGCTGCAGCCCCCCCAAATTTTGGGCAACTCAGATTTGTTTGGGCAACACGAGAAAATTTCGGCAAACCCAGTTTTTAAAGACGTCTCCATGTTTTTATTATTATTTTGAAAAGATAAATATTTTCTATTTTAACCTGAAGTCGGCGTAATAATCCCGTACATTGACACAAGATAGTGGCTGCCTAGCACGTGACGAGTTTCTGGTTATAAGGGATGGGCACTGTACTGCAATGGGCTATTTCCACTCTTGAATTTATTAGAATAAACTTCCGCCTAACTTTCTGGAATCATCTCCGCTCGTAGAACAGTGTATCGCAGATAACATCAGCAATGGGTCTGAACGTGAAGAAGTGGCTGACTAATTCTCAGTTTGAATTGCGAGAAGAATCTTACTTTTTTTTAAAAAAACTATAGAGCGGTTTAAAAATTATTTACTAATTTGTTAAAGTAGACTGAAATGTTTACAAAACCGCTAACAAGAGCGGCATGATACATACTAATCAAATCCTTCTTTGTAGCAATCGGCCTGAGCTATCTCCATGATCTTTCACCCACTTTTCTAAAAAGATTGAAACTACTATGAGGTGAAATTGCATGTCAATGCGCATCGTTTTCTACAGATAACGGCCAAACATCAAGATTTTCCTTTTTTTACCGTATTTCCAACGATAAAAACTTTATCCCAAAATGTCTCGATAACGCTCTTACAGATTCCGTTTTAACTCCACAAACATCGAAGCGAATATTGGATGCTCCTGTGATCGATTTTAGAAGAACAGTTCCCACGGAGAAATATTGCTGCAAGTATGATAGGTAATGGCTTCATTTCGTTGCTATGACAACTCCGATGTCATTGCAACCCTGATCGCAACAAATTTTCATCTTTATCTGATACCACTATGGTGGCAATTTTTCCAAATGTTTGTTTATGGCGACGTAGTTTATGCTCAAACTTGGCAGGTATTGACCCTCAAAAACTGTTTCGAGCCATTTTGATATGCCAGTACGGCCTATGCTGTTGCATCGGTCCTCGTTTCTGTTCGACTGTTTTGTAAAACTTTGGGCAGCTTGCAAAATTTTTTGGACAAATGGTTTACCGCCCCCCATGGCAAAAAAGAGCCCGTACGCCTATGATCGATAGTGTCCGGCTTAACACAAGCCAACGCCTGATTGAAGAACAAGAAAATGGAAAAGTTTCCTTTTTAAGATTTCTAGAATAAGTGAATGCTTGTATCGTAACAGTTTACTTACTAGTGACTTGATCGCATCGTCCATACGTCCGGTTAGATTGTGCTTATACTCGTTTCGTACCTACGTGACTAACCTTTTAATTACTGTTTGAGTTTCTCAGATGCATTTCTCGATTTTATTGTCCCGTGCAACCTCTTATGTTAAAGGGATACTCTATACCTAAAACCAATTTTGTTCAAAAGATAGCATTTGCACTATTATTACAGGAAAATGACAAAAAACAATCGAAAAGCAAAAGTAGAAAGCCCGAAAACCGTTGGACAAAAGTGAAATTTCAGCTCTTTGAAATCACCGATTTGTTAGGGCACGTAATCATGACGTAGAAAGAAGAATCTTTTCAGTGTGACTGAAGAGATGGTGGAGTCCGATTATAGTTTCTCCCTTTCTTCTCGTCCTTCAAACAAAAGTATAAACGAGAATTCGACTTTGTTAGAGCGTGAGAAAGCACAGACTTATTTGTTTTAGACGTATCAAAGCGAGTTTACTGAACTATGATACTGAAGTTACAAGCGGGTTCGACGTGGAGCAACACGAGCGATTGCAAAATACAGATCGGGTATTAGGGACCGGTCATTATGTACGTAGAGGGGGGAGGGAAAAAAAGGGAGGGAGGGCGGGTAAAGGCTATTTTAGATTGGCTAGAGAGGGGGGGGGGCTAAACTTTTTTATAAAGAAATTTAGAGGGGGTCCGCAGTTTGATCGCAAGGTATATTTTAAGAGGGGTTCATTAGCAAAGATGGGTAAAGCAGGTAAACAGTAGAATACAAACATTATATGTGAAACAGTAATGCTAAATTGTACAATTTTATGCAAGAGAGAATTGTTTTACGCTAATCATATTGCTTTTTGTATATTTAAAGCACCACTATTTTGTACAACTTAGTCATTTGTATTTGACAGAAATTCTGTTTGCACTCTAAACTTCATTGTTATTTCAAATTTTAGCTGATAAAGAATCCAGACCTATCAGTCTCCCTTAATATTTGGTTTGACTGAATTTTCTTTTAACAAAATGCTTGGCACTTCAATACATTTTACAGTAGAGGTAGTATATATTCTGTATGTTCGTGGTTTTTAAACCTGATGAAGACTAGTATTGGCCAGTCGAAATATTGTTTAGCACAGTCTTTTTTACATTGTTTGATCAGCCTTTGCAGTAGTCTTTTTAACTTTAATTCTATTTTTATCTTTTTCGACTGATTACGATCTTGTTTGATGCAACTTTGTTCTACATTGATCGTTCACGGTTTTACAATATATGTCTGTCTGGATTTGCAAAAAGGTACCTCCAGGATTTTTTTAGCAACGTAAACAGTCTCATTTGAGGCTTGTTCAGTACTTGACCATTTGTTTACAATGCTGTTTATATCTTTCCCCGCTAGCTATCATTTCCCATAATTCTCTCCATGTCATAAAGCACTATAACATTTGAAATCAGCGCGCGCGGTATAAGCTGTTTTCCGTGGTCGGCTAATTTTCTAGATTTCTCTTTCGCCGCCTGCAGCAAATTTGTTAAGCCTTATGAAGGAAGAAGTCTCACGAACCAGTTTTAGTGCATAAAATTATTATTTAACTAGAAGCAACCTACCATTTCCCTACTTCATCGTATGTATAGGCAGAGATCACTCATCCCGTTAACAGGGGCAGATCGAGGCAGCTTAAGAATGCCTACAGATGTATTTGTCTCCCTTTCCCATGTTCTTGCTTAAAGGCCACTGTATGTCTACCAGTGTGTGAAAGTCAGTAACCAATCCTCAATTACTCGTATGCAGATTAAGATCGCAGCAGTGGGGCAGGTCCTGATGGATCTTAGAGGAGGTGAAGATTACCCACTTTGAACCTGTTTATGTACAGTGGATAAAACTTCACGAAACCAGTTGAACTACAAGAAATGTTAAAATATTAAATAATTTTCCAGCTTTTTAAAAGTTAAATTAATTATTATGTTTATAATTACTATTTTATTTTTTCTATATCAGAATGTCAGAATTACACAACTCTTGATAACGCTAACAGAAAGATTACGTATCACGGTCACAAACTCCACTGTGACAATACAATCGGACCTGGTTGGTTTCGTTTCGAAGGGGCCGCCGGCAAAATGATGCCAACGTCATGTCCACCTAAATTCAGATGTGGCACAACATCAACCGGCTGGTTGAATGGTGAACACCCCACAGTAGAAGATGGTCAAGTCACCAGAATGGTGTGTTTTCACTGGATGTCAAAGTGCTGCAAATATTTAACCTACATCAAAGTGAGAAATTGTGGTTCATATTATGTGTACTACCTAAGTGGTACACCTCTACCTCGTTGTTATCTCCGTTATTGTGGCACGGATCATGACTAAAAACAAGGTGCAACTAAAAGTAATACATATTCTATCATTTCACTTAAGTAGGCTTCATTGTACTAAAGAAAGAAAAAAAGAGAGAAAAAGGAAAAAAATGTCATTAAAGTTCAATATCTGAATTTCTACAACTTAAGCAAAGGGAGAAAAAAACAACAAGGTAGCACAATGTACTACGCGCGTTTGCAGACAAGAATAGTTTACTTGAAACTTAAAATGAGGATAAATATGTTTTGAAGATCAAGTAAGAAATAAATAATGGTAAGTCAAACTGGGTAAAGTAATACATTAAATCAGCAATGCAGTCTTCTGTGTCACTTGTCACGTTGATCAGAAATATACACTGAGTCCAAAAGCCATACAGTGTTGTTAAATAAACTACGACCGGACAGAAGATGTGCCGAGAAGGGCGGGGTACTTGTTTTAATATTGATCTGTATAGGGATGCACTCTGTAAAATCGGAAACGAAAAGTGCATAACGAATATAGGTACAGTCAACTCTCGTCTTGCGCACATGCCGGCAATACGAACAGCAGCTCAAGTCCCAGCTACTGACTCTTGCTTGAGGATTAGGATTGGAGTTTCTTTGAGGAATAAACGTACAATTTAGTGGAATACCTATCACAAGCGATTGTTTTTATTGAGTATGACAATAGGCTATTTGCATGTTGGCGTCATTTCACTCATTTCCAGAATCCTCGAGCTCTTACCCCAAAGCGTTGTACAGATTGGGCTAAATCCAGGCCAGATTGTGGAGTTTTACTGTGTGACTCAATTATGCAAGTCCCACTCGTGCAAAGAATAGGAAATGTCAACCATATACTTGCGCTTTGTAAGGAGAGATTTCCATGAATTCTTTATTTGCCTCGAATATCATACATAGCTTTCAAAGATTCGCTTTGACGTTGTTTTTAGTAATCCATACTGAATTTGCATAAAGAGGTTTTAGCTCCGCAAAAAGGCTCGTGCCATTTTTATTACCTTTGTTTCATTTGCTTTGTGTTCGCTAGGTAATAATCATAGAAGAGCCAACAGTGTTCCTTAACAAACAATTAAACTAATATTAATTGCTCGTTCTCTTTTCAATTATATACATTTTACGTCAATGTTGACTCTTGAAAGAATACTTAATTATTTAATAATGGTTTATTTGACTTCAGTCTATTTTTTTTGTGTTTTTACTACCGGACGACATTTATTCATAGTAACGACTTTCGTGCAGGTGCATCTCGTTTTAATTGCGATTTAGTTATATTTATTTGCGAAAAATATATTTCATTAAGTTGTTACAGAAGGAGAGGTAATAACCGAATTTTGTACATGAAAGGTTTTGTGGTCTTGCAATTTTAAAATTAGATCGGTTTTTGTTTAAGGTGAAAACTTCCAGTTAGTCTGCGCTTTTCCTGTTTATACAGCCGATAGCTGAACTTGCAGTTTAATTCATATTGTAACACTTTGTACATAAACGCTATTTTGCTGACCTGGCTAGGTCTTTGTCCCAGTACTTCTACTTTCTAAAATAGCAACAGTAACAAAAGATTTCAGGTTAAAAATAGAATTTGTATTTAGTTTTCATTTAACTCTAAGTGATTTCTGTTTATATTTCTATTGTATTCTTTTGTCTTCAATGGTTGTAAAAATGATATATAAGTGAGTTAGTTTTTACTGATTTTTCGATTACATCGCCGATTACATTTGTGAGCTAAGTTACGCTACGTGTACAAGAATAAACGCTGTTGGAACCAAAGTTCAGTTGCCTTTCTTGTACCAGTTAGTGGTTTGGTCCCGGACCTCAAGAGAAGTGACGGTTCTTTCCCGCAAGCGAGTAGCAATTGAGTCTAGTTTCCCCAATTAACCGATAGTTAAAGCGTCGAGTTCCCGTTTAGTGTTAAAATCGTTCGAAAGTGGAAAAACCGGCCTTCCGTCACAGCTTGCTGAAAGTGAGAAGCCCAACGAATCGACTCAGTAGACAGAGAATTGAGATGAACTAGGAATCAAAGAAAACTTTTTGACCCCGGCGAGATTTAAACAGGCTGTCATACTAAGAATGACAGCCTGCTTTCTCGGACTCCGTTACAGATCTCCCGGCCGTCGTTATCCATCTTCATTTCTAATGACGCTGCCAGGCCCAAATAAATAAAATCATCAATAAATTCCAGTTTCGTGGCATCTCGGGTGAGAGCATCGCCTTGTCGCTCCATGTAAGGGAATCCAGGACAGTCCTGGATTCTGGATTCCATTGAATTCCTCTACCAAAATTTCCAAGCCGTCCAGATTCCACAAGCAAAACTATTTCAGGGATTCCGGATTTGGATTCCCTCGCATGGCGGGGGAGCCTTGGGCTTCAAGCATATCCATTTACTGTCCTTTTGCTCTTAAAGATGAGGAAGATTACTCGAGAGTATAGCCGAACCATTAGCACTTCGGGATGGGTAAAGAAGGTCGAACTGTATACCTCAGTTTAAGTTTGTTGACCTGTATCTCTCAGGATGGCAACGACCAATACTATAGACAGAGGATTCAACCATTCAACTTTGCCTTACTCCAGAGTTAATAACAGCAAATGCCTCTGAGAGCGTATTGTGAAGAATGATTTCGGATTAAAAGTGGTCGTAGAAAAGGCCTATGTCACACCACAGGTTTCCCAAGCTCACGTTACGAACGTGAGTGTTATGTAAATTAACGTCGGTGTTGCGTTACAAGCAACCGTTGAGACTTTGTATGCCTTGTATGAGAAACAGGGAAATAAAATACTGAGGTCTGCGAACGCTAAATATCATTGTTGTTACTTATTTTTCTATAAAATAAATAAAGGAGACTTACTTTGATGTATTCCTGTGTTTTTTGGGAGTGAATTCAGCGATTTAGTCGGTTTTTTTGGCTGTTATTGTTTGACCCCTGTCAATCTCTTCATAATACGAAGTAAAGGCAGCACAGAAACACAGCCGGCGGTCCGGACCTTGTCTACTCGAAGGCAGTTTGCAGCCTGTATATTTAATAACAATAATGATATTTAGCGTTCGCAGACCTTAATATTTTATTTCTCATACAAAGTCTCAAAGTAACGGTTGCTTGTAACGCGACACCGACTCCCTTGTGAGAAAAGTTAATTTACATATCACACTCGTAAAGTGAGTTTGGGAAGCCTGTGGTCACACAAAGTGAATGGTATGTGATCGGCGCAGCTTCATCCTCCGTGGAATCTTTCCTGTTTTTCTCTCATGAGAGGACGCAGGGGGTTTTTACTGGAAGTACAGTACCATGTCGTGTTATAAGCTTTGTGGGCAGTTAATTCCATTTAATATGTCGCGCTCCTCGAAAGTGGTAGCATTTCTGTGTTTCGGCGACATTCCAATGTATTATATTTCAGCATACGTATCATATGATATACATTGCAAGTTAATCTTCATTTCGCTTGTTTGCGCACTTTACAAGTCCCTAAGTCACTCGGTTCCTCACACTTCCTGAAACGCCGGCGTTGTAGCTGGAATACATTGCTGTGGCAAGGATTACCCAGGTAATAGCATGATTTGAGTAATATTTGGCATAAGGACCACCTTTGATATTTCGAAATTGTTATACATAATTTAGCGAGTCGTTAGGCGAGAGAAATTTGAGACAATTTTGAATTATCACAACTGTTATTTATGTCAAATATCACGAACAAATCATGCTATTATGTGTATATACTACTACCCACAAAAGGGTTGTAGCGGAGCTCCATCCGCGCGCGTGAAGCCCCATTGCTGAGGAAATGTGGTAATCTACCCATCCGAGAAAATTTGGTAATCACGTGACCGTATGCCCGACCGTCCGTCTGCACCACAGGGAAACCATGTTACTCTCACACTTTCTAGCTAGTTTGGGAGCCCAAGAGAAAACTAATTGCACATCAATGTTGTGATCAATTGACAGCTGTCAAAACAGGGTATCCGCTGACCAGTATCACCTGACCGTACCGCGGGTTCAAGTGTCGACCCATCGAGGTCGAGTATTTATCTGCTGACAAATTACCAGTTTCAAATGATCGCAGGCTCAAGTTTATTTTTTTCCAATGATTCATATGAAATCAAACTGACCTCGTACGCGAAAATTCAGCCAGTTTTTTTTAAAAAATACAGGCGGGGAAGACCTTTCCTTACCATGGTCACGTCTTGGTCACGCTGTACGTCCAATTTTTATACTCTGATTGGTCAAAAATTGACAGGTGAGTTCATGCGGAAAATTTATGCATCATCTTGAAAGTTGTTTACTTTGAGTAAAATAGCACGTGCTGTTTCACCTCAGATGTGATGTATAAAAAGTATAAAAGGTTGGTTTACACTCCCCCAGATTTGTTGGCAAGAATTTGTAAAGTAAACCTGTCGAACGCAAAAAAATTCGGCCTGACTTGTTTTCCAAGAATTTGTTTTCGAGGCCTTATCTACTGTGATTAAGAGCCATTGTGGCTCTTGAATGTGATCGAAGATGTTTGCTATTTTTTGGGTGTACATATAAGGCTATCAACTCGATGTAAGATGTTTCACTCTAAAATAACTTAAATTTTTCCCTCAAAAGTCACATGAATGTGCCCTTAAGTTAACTGATTTGTGGATTACAAGTTTTTTGTTTGATTAAAATTATAAATGTATTCATGAGAGGTTCGCTTTTAGCCCTTTATATATTAATTTTCACATGTAGGTATTTCAAGTAAAGCTGAAATACCACTGCTCTAAGCCAATCAAATTGCAGAAATTTCTCATGTAGTGGTATAAATTAACTAATTTGGTGTCTTTTGTATTAAGTGTATTTCCTCTGTATTTAAGTATCTAAGTTAATGTAATGTGGGTAGGAAGCAGATAAATGAAATTAAAAAAAAAAATGTTTACGATTACAAAAGAGATAAAAAATGTAGCAAGCAATGGCTAGGATGCCTAAAGAAAGCTATGTTAATTAGGGTTCCTCGATTATAATTTTTCAACGATGACATAAAAATTACGGCGACGTATACAAGTACCAA